CCTGCCCCTCCTCTGCCCCGGGACCTGGACCTCCCTCTGAACTGGGACACTCACGGATACTTGAGCAATGACCTGTGTACCCTGTGTACTCCCGACCACCACCCGGGGGGAGAGGGGTGCTGCCCTGCGTGGTGGCCGTGGCTCCAAGTGCTGGCCTGGGTTGTCACAGCACTTCTTCCTGGGTCCTCTGCACAGTGAGTTCACGGGAAAGGTGTGGGTTTGACACAGTACCCTGGAGGGAGACCTGCTCTGGGAGCATGAGGCGGGGAGGACTGTGGCTCCCCCAGCTTACCTGGAAGGGACTAACTCTGGTTATTGTCTTGGTCACAACACATTCACAGCTCCCGGGACAGCTTCTTTCTCCTCTGACCAAGGACCTTCCCTAAAGAATAGACGCTAGGCACTTCTAGAACTCAAGTCAGGGCGACTCAAGGGCCAGGTGCCCTCGGACAGAGATCTCCAGGCCTTGAGACCAATGAAGAAAGCCACTCCCTCGGGATGGTCTGATGGCTCGCGCAGCGCTGCACGTCCACAGCTTCCCGTGGAAGCCGACACACACGTTCTCTGCCTGTTCATTTCAACACTTTCTTGATGGAGGCCAGGGACGTGGTGTTGGCTGGGTGCTAATTACGTTCCCTGTCTTCATTAATGAGATTTTCTGATGTGAGTGGGGTTTGGATCACAGCAGGTTTATACACATACGTTTTGTGTGTGATGTGCAAAAGGGGAGGCTGCAATCCTCATTTTAGAACCAGCGGAGATCTGACTCCTAAATCTTCATCCCAAACTCCGCCATTCTAACGCTGCACTTAAAGGCACAGCAGCCTCGGACCAGCAGCGTGCCTTCTGTACATGATCCACGTTGTTAGCTGCTGGGTGTCTAGGTGGGAGCTTTCAGAGGCTTGCAGCACATAATTCGGGCCCTAATGCACCTGCTGGCAGTGTTTCCCCTCCCTGCGTAGCAGTGGTTTTTGTTTCGTTCCGTTTCGTAGTCACAGAGCTCTATGTCAAATGCATAATTTCTATCCCTTAAACGGAGGAGAAAATGAGCCAGACACAGCAGGCTTATTAGAGACGCAAGGGCTCTGTGCCTGCAATTTGCACTGCTGCCACAGGGGGCATCGCAGCCCTGAGCAATTCATCCATGCGAATCTTTCTCTACAGCAGCCCACCAAACACACAAAGTCAGCTTAACCCGGGACACTTCAGGAATGAAATGAAAGATCTGACACTTGATACCTCATTAGACAGACGTCTGCCTTAAAAACAAACAAACAAACAAACAAAAACAGAAAGCTGGTCTCGTCATTGGCACAGCCTACAAATGGGGCACGTCAGCAACTGCTTTGCACTATCTGTTAGGTACAGGGATACAGCAGAAAGTAAAGCACATCTCCAGTCTACAACGCCTCCAGACGTACCAGAGGCCGCCGCGTGTGAGTAACGACAGCCTGCCATGCTCCGAGCAGCCCGCCACAGTAACAGCTAATGGCAGAAAACCCAAGAGCCAGATCTACAGAGAAGGCACTCACAGTCTGTCGGTGGGTCCTAAAGCTTGCCCTGGTTGTTCTGAATCGCAGAAAGTGGGTGAGAAGAGGCCACGGCTTCCCTCCCTCCTGCTCCAGGCACCTGTGGGAGAACAGTCCACCTGCAGCTTCCCTCCTCCTGCTCCAGGCACCCGTGGGAGAACAGTCCACCTGCAGCTTCCCTCCTCCTGCTCCAGGCACCCGTGGGTGGGCAGTCCACCTGCAGCTCCTTGCTGTTGTTTCAACACCCGAGAAGGCTGCCTTTCCACACCCTGCTCACAGTTGGGGCGGAGCTGATTGCTCACCTCATCCCGTTCCCTGCTCCCTTGCTTTTGTGACCCTTTTCACAGCTGCTGACTCTTCTCTCCTTTTCAAACAGGATTTGTTTATTCATTTATTTATTTATTGGAGAGAGAGAGGCTGAGCTGGGCTGAAGCCTGGGAGATAGGAACTCCGTCCAGGCCTCACACACGGGTGACGGCTGCCCAAGCACTTGGGCCATCTTCCACCGCATTGTCAGGCACATTGGCAGGGAGCTGGGTCTGAAGTGGAGCAGCTACAACAGGAAGTGGTACCAGTTGGGCATGGCAGCATCTCAGGTGGCAGATTAACCTACTGCGACCCTTTCACAACCAGGGACCCTTGCCCACATATCCCCTGTGCCCCCACCGTGCACTCGGCTCCAGAAGTGCCCACCCGCACTCTCCATTCCAGAGGGAGTGCCTCTCCCTGTGCAGGGAAGGGTTTTTTCTTCGCCTGAAGGGTCGGTCCCCTCCCTACGCTGCGGCCCAGGGCCTGCTCCCTGAGCGAGGAAGCTGTCGCTCTGAGTGGCGACACGCGGTGGTCACTGCAGAGACAGTCAAGACAAACAGCGCTCTTCATTCCCGCTCACTGTGACTACTTAGCAAGCTCCCTTTAACACATTTGTTTTCATTTTACTGGAAAGCAGGAGACGTCTGGGCTGGGCTGAAGCCAGGAACTGTGTCTGCGCCCCTAACAAGGCTGGCAGGGACCCGAGCGTTGAGCTGCCACCTGCTGTCACCCAGGATGTATGCTGGCATGAGGTTGGACCAGAAGCACAACAGCCAGGACTCGAACCTGGCACTGGGACGTGAACATGGACATCCTAAGCCGTGAGCTAACTGCTGTGCCAAATGCCTGCCCCAAGACCCCTTCCCTCACCAAGCAAAGTTGATCACGCAGTTGCCCCATGAGGTGGGTGGCCCACAGATGGCCAGGAACACAGGATGGGTCCACCAGCGAGCTTCATGACCAAGCCCGGAGGGGACTGTCCGAGGTGCTGTCGCTGTGAAACTGGAGACCCGGGTCTGCCTGTGCAGTCTGCAGGAGACAGAACGGACCGGAGTGCCAGGGAAGTGCCGGGAAGGGCTGCTGGGTGGCCACAAGCAGAGCAATAGGAATGAGGTCAGGTGGGTGAGAAGCTAAGGAGGAGGGTGGGGAGATGGGATGGGCCTGAGGGACAATTTAGAGAATTTAGCTTTCACTTGGAGGGAAGAGGAAAGCCACAGGGGATGCGGAGGAGAGCAGCGATGTGATGTGACCCACATTTGAAAAGGCTCACGCTGACTCCTGGGTGGAGAATAGATTCTGCAGTGAGGAAAAAGGTCCAAAGCCAACAGTGCTAGGGAGACACTCATGGAAAATTCATGTTGCCTTCCAACCTTGGCTCGCTTACCCAGTTGGAAATGATTACACCTGGGGAGGGTTTGAGCAGCCATTCCTGAGCTGGAGAACATAGCTAAAGGCGTGCTTCTTCTTAGAAGTTAATGTGCAAGTGACGGAGTGACTCAGGTTAGCTTGCCAACACGACACATTATAAACATTTGTTGTAGAATCACAGCCAGGTTGCAACTGGAGCAACTAAGGAGAAGTGTTTCTGCAAGAACTAGCATAGTGCAGCAGGCAGAACGGAGGCCCTGGGAGCACAATAGGGCAGAATGGAGGCCCTGGGAGCACAGCAGGGCAGAGCGGAGGCCCTGGGAGCACAATAGGGCAGAACAGAGGCCCTGGGAGCACAACGGGGCAGAACGGAGGCCCTGGGAGCACAATAGGGCAGAACAGAGGCCCTGGGAGCACAGCAGGGCAGAACAGAGGCCCTGGGAGCACAACGGGGCAGAACGGAGGCCCTGGGAGCACAATAGGGCAGAACGGAGGCCCTGGGAGCACAATAGGGCAGAATGGAGGCCCTGGGAGCACAGCAGGGCAGAATGGAGGCCCTGGGAGCACAGCAGGGCAGAGCGGAGGCCCTGGGAGCACAGCAGGGCAGAGCGGAGGCCCTGGGAGCACAGCAGGGCAGAGCGGAGGCCCTGGGAGCACAGCAGGGCAGAGCGGAGGCCCTGGGAGCACAGCAGGGCAGAATGGAGGCCCTGGGAGCACAGCAGGGCAGAGCGGAGGCCCTGGGAGCACAATAGGGCAGAACGGAGGCCCTGGGAGCACAGCAGGGCAGAGCGGAGGCCCTGGGAGCACAGCAGGGCAGAGCGGAGGCCCTGGGAGCACAGCAGGGCAGAGCGGAGGCCCTGGGAGCACAGCAGGGCAGAGCGGAGGCCCTGGGAACACAACGGAGGCCCTGGGAGCACAATAGGGCAGAATGGAGGCCCTGGGAGCACAGCAGGGCAGAGCGGAGGCCCTGGGAGCACAGCAGGGCAGAATGGAGGCACTGGGAGTGAATCCACATGTTACAATCAGTGGGAGACAAAGGGTCTTCTTAAACAGCACTGGCAAAATTGGAGACCACCTGAGGGATGAGGCCAGACCCTTCTAGCTCTTACCATCCTCAGAAATGAACTTAAAATGCATTAAGGATCTAAATGTGAGATTTGAAGCTTTTTTTTTTTTTTTTTTTTGGATAGTCAAGTTTACAGAGAGAATGAGAGACAGAAGGACCTTCTGCCCGCAGCTCTTGAAGTTCCCGCATAGGTGAGTGGATCAAAATGACACCCGGATGGGGTCAGGCTGGGAGAGGTCCTGGGGAGGAGGCGACTGAGGACAAGAAGAGCTGGGGAGGCTCCTCCCCCCTTCCTGGCAGCAACAGAGAAAAGGCTGTCCCCACCGCCCGTGCGGCCCGGGGGCGGGAGGGAGGCCGCGTCCCCACAGCGCTGGTCCTGGGGTTAGGCTGTGGCGCCTGGCGACTCCAGGCTGGATTTAGTTAGCTCCACTCCCTGGCAAGGCAAGACTCTGCTCCTCTGGCGTCCCCTGTCTGCCCTGAGACTGCTGCCGGAGCGAGGCGGGGCTCACGCAGTGTGAGGGAGGGACGGAGGCTGACACCAGGGCCCCATGGCCATGCACGCCTGGAGCCTGACACCAGCCCTGAGCCGGCCCCATGCCCAGCACGCCTGCCCCGCTGGCCGGCACGTGCGCGTCAGGAGGCCGCAGGAAGCCCAGTGCAGCCCGCCGCTGCCGCGAGGCCCCGGAGATGCGGCGGGGCGCAGGCAGGGGCGCCCGCTGTCCACTTGCCTTCAGCACATCCTCGTGCGAGGAGCTGCACTCCACCGACTCCCGCAGCTCGGCCACCGCGCCGTCCTCTGCCACTGACACCAGCTTCACCGGCACCGCCACCGTCTTCCCCGTGAGGATGGCCGTGTTCAGGATCTCCGCCTCCTGCAAGACCAGACACGCCTGTCAGTCACACACCTGGGCGCATGGCCGCATCTCTGGGCAGCGCGCCCTGCCTGGGAGCGGGCCGGCGCATCTCTGGGCAGCGCGCCCTGCCTGGGAGCGGCCGGGCGCATCTCTGCGCAGCGCGCCATGCCTGCCCTCAGCCCTCCCCTGTGGGTTGGGCCTGCAGCACACACCAGCTCCAGTGCGTGCTTTCTGGTGAAGTCACATGAGCCCATGTTTCCCCTGGAGAAGATTCAGCTCCAGGAACCATGATTCCTCCCTGCATTGCTGTTGTCCCTGTCCAGTGAAGGTCAAGGCCCCAGCAGCCCACACATCTGCTCAGCTCCAGCTCGCCCCAGGCCTCTGCACTGCTACAATGAGTTCTGTCCCGTCATGCCCCACCTCTCCAGTGAAATCTGATCGCATCTGGCCCTTTCCCTGACAAAACCATAGCGGAGTCAGGACGCCTGTGGGAGAGCTCCCAGGACGCTGCTGCTGCACAGTGCCCGGTGCTCCCCTCGTGGCCAGCACTGAAGGCCGCCTGGGCGTCGGTTTTCACATGGAGTTTTAGGGTCTTCCGAAGCCGGCAGCAGGTACACGCGTTTGTCACCCGCCAATGACCTCTCCCTCTTCCTTACGCTAACTCCCCAGTGCTTCTTACGTAAGCTCTGGTTTTTCCGTTACAGAGCGAAATTAGTGTGACAGCTCATTCGGTTTAGTCTTTGCATATGGTAATGTCTAGATATTTTTTTCATTATTTGGATTCTAAAAGACAAGACTCCAGTTTGGAATGCTCTTGAATTTAGGACTCTACTTTAAACTGTCTGAATACGTATAGGGCTCCAGGCGCGGTCTCAGCCCAGACAGCCAACATTGTGGGAAAGGAAGGCGGCCAAGTCAGAGCTGCGTCCGCTGTGGGCCATCGCACACGGCCAGCTGCTCCGAGCCCGCCCTGCGAGAGGGCAGACGACTCTGGAAACGAGTGGACAGGAGCGCTCCAGCTCTCCAGCCCCATTGGCTGGTGGCAAAGGAAAGACACGGGTGGGGGCCGCCTCTTCATCCTGACCACAGGCCTCCGGAGCCTGCACACGCGTGGGCAGGGCAGAGCCTCCTGTGGCCACACACACCCCGCCACGCGTGCTTCTGCACTCTCAGGGCAGCGTTAAGGGCTGACGAGCACCTGAGCACTCTCGTTTGCGTGGAGTGAGTGTCCAGCGTCCGGGTGTCAGCGGAGACACTTGCTCGCCTTTTTGTCCAGCCTAGAGGGCCATGTTGAATGCTCCTTTGCGGGCCAGTCTCCCACCAACAGGCCTGAGGCAGCGGGGAGCTGGCTCTGCCCCTGCTGGGGGCACGGTTTAGATCTAGGATTCTACTCCGACGACTGAGCAACTTTCTGCATTGCTAATGCATTTATTTACACCAAGACATTCGCTCTTTCTCACAGCATCACTCTATATTTGAAATTTTCTTGGGAATATTGTTCAGTTTTAAGAACTAAGCTGAGGGACCTTACAGACATAAAATCCACTGTAGCCCCACAGCAGAAAAGGATTAAAGGAAAGTTTCTGGCCAACATCCCACCAGCAGCCTTGACCCCAGAGCACCTGACATGCTCCACTGACTCTCATGATTAAAAGCCCACTGGTCAGGAAGAATGTTCCAGAACCTCCATGCCTGTCCCACAGACTGGCCCACAAGGGTGCCTAAACTCTTCCTTGTCCCCACATCAGACACAAACTAGCTCATGGTGTATCCATCTGGCAGAGACTAGGCCACAGCCTGCACCCTCATGTACGTGCTGTCCCTTACAAGGAAGGCTGAGCAAGGAGGTTTGGGGAATTCACTAGGAAAGATGAGCTGCACCCGACAAGGAGCTAGCACCATGCACAGCGGACGGCTTTGGGGATGCTGCCAACAGCTTCCACCTGTGTGTCGTGCTGCAGGCTGCTCTTCCAGGTCTGCTCTCTCACACGAGTCACCCCTGACTGCATCTTATAGAAGTGTCCACAGCAGACCGAATCCCAGGCCCTCAGATGCTGAAGGGATACAACTGTGAGAATTCATATTTCACGGCAAAACAAAGCACTGGTCCAAGAAGCATGCCCACATCAGCCGTGACATTATTTTTCTCTTGTCTTGAGAGTCCATTCAAAGGCGATACTTAAGAATGGAAGGATGGGACTGGGAGGCCGGGAGCCTTGTGGTACAACAAATTACAATATTGCTGGTTTGAGTCCTAGCTATTCTGTTGCAAGCCCAGTTCTCTATTAATGTGCCTGGGAGGCAACACATGAAGCCGAGGCTTGGGTCCTTGCCATTCAGGCCGGACACCCAGGTGGAGTTCGAGGCTCCAACTTTGGCCTGGGCCAGGCCTGGTTATCGTGGGTCTCCGGGCAGTGAATCCCAGGTGAAAGCTCCTCACCCTCCCTTCTCCTCCCTAGCCCCCTCTCCCCTCCCTTTCTTTGTCACTCTGCCTTTCAAATAAAGATTCTTTTCAAAGTGAAGAAATGCAAAAACTACACCTGGTAAGGCATGCATCCTGACCAACCAGTAGAGATGCCTGGTCCACGTGGCTGGCTGCTGAGGGAACAACAGGCAGGCGACTTCCAGTTCCCGGGGAACAAAGCAGGCCCCGGGGTGCTCCCCTCGCAGGTCCCGTCAATGCTCCCAGCCACCGGATGTGAGGTCCAGGTTGTTTGTGACTGCAGGGCCGGTGTGAAGGAGCATCTATGTTCAGCTATGCGTCCTCTTACACCTGCACGGCACCAGGGACCTTAGGTGCTCCTGATGGCAACACAGTGTCCATTAGCCCTGTGATCTGTGTTTCTGTGCTCCTGACCTGTGAGGGCCGGGCAGCAGCAGTGCGGAATATGAACCAGTTTCTTAAGGCAACTTTGGAGCTACTTGGAATGTCACTGTAACACCAGCCATTCTAAATCACACACAGTGCTTTCCAACTTTTGCAAGGCTGTGGCTACCCCCAGGCTGCACCACACCGTCCTCCCTGCCTCGCTGGCCCCATCTGCTACCCTCACGACTGCCTGTCGCGAGTTTAGGTAGCCTTGACGGAGACTGACTTCTGAAATCCTGTCATTTCCCAGCAAAGGCTGGCGGTGTAACAAGAAGAGCGATGACTCTTGGCCCGCTCTGGTCTTCTGCGTGTCCACCTAGATGGTTTCTTCAGCCACGCATCCCCCGTCCTCCAGCACGCCCTGCCAAAGATGGGAATGCGTTTTTCATCCATGCTGCGTTAAATGGGAGAGCTGTTGGATGGCCATGGCAAGCCTGTAGCTAATTAGCAATGATGCCCTGTCTTTATAAATAACCCATGTGCTGCTTTTAACAAGCGGGCAGCATCATCCATCGTGCTGGTACCCGCACTGCACACAGCAAGCACAGTCCACCGGTCCCCCAAGAACGTGGGCTGCAGCGCAGCACGGAGAATAATGGTGTTTTAGCCGTCACATGGGGCAGCGCCGGGCTTCGTGCTGCAGAGCCCGTGTGGGGCTGGCGCTCCGTCTCACCTTTTCCGGCTTAGGCTGCCTTCTGGAAGCCACGGAAACTCAGGGCACGCACCCTGCTTTCCCCTCCCCCTTTCTACATTAATTAAAAAAAAATTCTTCTCCAGTTTATCCGTGCTCGTTGCAGACATAAGACGCCGCAGGAAGTGACTCCCTCTCTCCACTCCCATCTTGCCTCCTTCCTGCCATCATTTGCAACCCGCCTGTGTTTTGAAGACGTTTGTCCCCGTTTATTTAGTGAACACACTAGATGGCACTTTTTTGAATAGCAGCTTCAGACTTTACCTGCTGATTGGTGGTAGATGAGGTTCCCTCTACATCCTCTTTCCTCTCGTGCCTCTGTCAGTGCAGTTTCCCAGTGTGGGTTTTCTATTCACTATATTTATACTTTCAAGGAAATGTGTCCCTGATCAAAGGATGATGTCCCTCAGAAGGGCAGACCCCGGCATCTCGTGTGTCCGTGTGATTTACAGAGGGTGGACTCAGAGAGGCCTGAGGCCGAGATGCAACAAACTCACCCATGCTTTGTGCAAAGGTTGACTATAAACGCTGTCCCTGTTATTTTCAAATGCTCTTTGCTGTGCGGCAGGGATTTCCAGCCTCAACATGCTCAGTATTTGAGGCTGGCCGCTCTGTCAGCACAAGGTTCTGTGACGGCAGCAGCTGCGTTACAATATCCCTGGCCAGTCGAGGCCAGCAGCACACCCTCTCACCACCTGCACATCATGCCGCGTGTCCCTGGGGCGGGAGGGACATGGTGGTGGGACTCAGGAGTAGGATTTGGTTCCTTTACGATTGTTTGTATATCCTGGAGTTATTAGTCGCCTTTCTCTTGCTCCCACCACAGTTCACCTCTAGCACAACCTTTGTCAAGTTTTTGCTGACCTTGAGGTTTTCAGGCGACTGACTCATCAGAAACTTCCATGTTCCGTTGTTTTCAACTGATCGATTCTGCAGGCCAACTGTCTGGATGTGATTGGGGGAGTTTTCCTGACTGTTGTTGCAAGAGGAGATGGAAAGTCTTGGTTTTTCTTCAGACTAAAAGTATGGAGCCACTGTGTACATAGCCTTGTACAACCAGAATGGGCCTTGGAAATAAAAATGTACATATTAAAACCATATTTTACTGTGCCAGAGGAGCTTGCTGTTAAACAACTATCCTGAAATAATTCAAGCCCCAGCTCAAACACTTTGACCCTCCACGTCTCCTTCGGGGGAGACAGCATGCACATTGCTTGTAGTTTCTGAGACGTTATATAAAATAGCCATGGGACAGGGCGGCATGGAGAGAGCAAAGGGTCTGACTCTGGGGCCAGGCAACCAGAACCTGCTTGCTCTGCAACTCGGCAGGTCAGTTCAACGGGGATCACCAGGGTCGCACGCCACGGTGGTGCTGTAGGGAATGTGTCCGGGAAGCTGCTTAGTGCTCTGATGTCTCTCAGAAGTGCAGGTGCATGGCTGCTTTAGTTATCATCACTG